CACACACTTCTACTGAGTATCAGTAAGACATGGTACAATCAATGACTGTGGAAAATACTAGGCACCACAGTGAAATTTCTAGGCACCCTGCTGCTCCGGCACCTGGGATTCGTCAACCCTCTAGTTCTTTAAAGAGAGCAAATTAAGCCTTCCCCAGGGAGTTTTCACAAAAGGGATTTGCTTCACATTCTGGATCACTATACTGAAGAATACTGCCAGTGAGACAGATGTCCACAGGAATAAATATTTTGGTAGTCACACACACACACACACTTGCTTCGTCTCCAAACTCTTTATGGAACCTTCATCATTCTTTGGACCCTGGAAACAAGGAGATACAGCCTCTGGTAGGGTGGAAACCACACATGGGAGTATACGAGGAATAAAAGTCAGGTAGGCAGAGTTTAGCCCTGGATCGCCCAGGCTAGCCCGATCTCATCAGATTTCAGAAGCTAAGCAGGGTCAGCCCAGGTTAGTATTCGGATGGGAGACCACTAAGGGAGTCCAGGGTTGTGACCCAGAGGCAGGCAGTAGCGAACCACCTCTGAGCAACTCTTGCCTTTAAAACCCTACGGGGTCCACCACCACCGGGCAGAGTTTATAGACCAGATTTACCCACACGACTGAAAGCAGTCCACATTTTTTTTTGAAAAAACCCACCTAGTGTGAGGCACAGGGTATCGCACTGAGGACATTTTGAACAAAATTATTTCCCATACTCCATATTGTCCTGTGAAACTGTTCTGGTCCCAGATCAGTCAGGACCGTGGGTAGATAGATGGATACCAGGATATTGTCTCCAACCCTTTGGTTTCTGGCAAGAGACACCCCCAGTACACACATACACACAAGATAAGCTGCACTTTCCTGCTCTACTTGCTAAAAGGAGAAACTCCTTCGCTATTAGGCCTGGATAGCGCAGAAATATGCTTCTGCTATGAAAGATGTTGGGAGTTTAGCCGTGCTCCGATAGATTTGAATTTTAATTGGTTTATTTATATGGAATTTATTTATATGAAACTGCAGAACGGTCGGGTTAGAACGGATAAAAGGAAGTACTTCTTCACCCAAAGAGTGATTAACACATGGAATTCACTGCCACAGGAAGTGGTGGCAGCTACAAGCATGGACGGCTTCAAGAGGGAATTAGATAAACATATGAAGCAGAGGTCCATCAGTGGCTATTAGCCACAAGGTATAGCTAGGGGCTCTGGGGCAAGTGATGCTCTGTCATCTTGGTGCTTGGGGGGGGGGTCAACAGTGGGAGGGCTTCTAATGTCCTGGCCCACCTGCTGGACCTCCTGATGGCACTGGTATTTCTGGCCACTGTGTGACACTGTGTTGGCCTGATCCAACATTGGCGTCTCTTATGTTCTTATGTTCTTAACTTTAACTGTTTTATATATTGTACGCATTTTGTGCCTGTGTAAGCCTCCCTGAGCCCGTTCGCGGGGAGGGTGGGGTATAAATATAATAAAATAAAATAAATAGGCTGAAATTAGAAGCTGGGGCCACCCCGGGGTCCTTTCAAAGGATATCTGGGCTTGGAGCAGCTGTGCCTTCTCCATTCGCTCCCCAACCCAAAAAGTCCCGTGCACAGGGCCTCTATGGAGACACAATATCTCTAGGAGGACAGCATTCACCATACAGTTCCAGATCTGGACTTGTATACCAAAATCTTTCTGACAACCAAACAAAAGATGACTGACCAACGGGAAAGATGGATTTCGAGGTAGCTTTCCTGATTCTAGCTGATATATCCGGAGGAAAACCTCAACTTGTGGGGTTGACTCACTGATGAAGCGAATTACTTGGAGGGCGTGGTATACGTCTTTATACTGTTCTCTTCGGTACTTCATCACAAATGTATGAGATTCATGGTGGGGAGGAAGAATACCTTTAAAAGGGGGGAAAGGAGGAAGTATCTATTACTTGACACATAAGCAAGCACTTAGATATCCCTTCTACAGTTTTTCTATCCAGTGGGCTAAATACTAGGCCTAGAGGACAACACTGCACATTTTATATATGGACTTGGATCTGACCAATCCATACAGGGATGAAGCAAATTTTAGGGTACTTCCCAAAACAACAATGATACTGAAGCTTGGAATACATATAGTCAAAGATGATTTGTTTACTAGTGAAGTTTTAAAAGAACATGTTTTGAATATCTGAAATATACAAACCAGAGTACTGGTCCATCTAGGTAAAGATAAAGGTAAAGGTTCCCTTGCTCGAAAGCCAGTCGAATCCGACGCTAGGGTTGCGGTGCTCATCTCCGTTTCAAAGCCGAAGAGCCAGCGCTGTCCGAAGACATTTCCGTGGTCATGTGGCCGGCATGACTAAACACCAAGGCGCACGGAACACTGTTACCTTCCCACCGAAGCAGTACCTATTTATCTACTTGCAATTTCTTGCTTTCGAACTGCTAGGTTGGCAGGAGCTGGAACTAGAGACGGGAGCTCACTCCGTCTTGCGGCACCCGGGTCTCGAACTGCCGAACTACTGACCTTCCACAGCCTGCAGTTCAGCGTCTTAACCACTTGAGCCACCGCAGCTCCAGTTATCTAACCTAACTTGTACTGACACTCCAGGGTCCTGCTATCTGATACTCCCTTAACTGAGGACTGAAGCTAGAACCTTCAGCATGCAAAGCACATCCTACGCTACATCCTCTCCTCTGGATAACATCTGGCACAGCTCACTAAAACAGAATATATTCCGCCACAACAAATCAGTCCAAGACCCACAAGGTGGAACGTATGCCACTGGAAGTTCCATCTTCATGTGTCTTATAGCAACTTCTTCTCTTGTGTCTGCTACTTCTCTGACTAACAGGCATTCGAAGCTTACAATAAGAACGGAACTACAAGAATTAAGATATTGATTAAAACAACAGCCAACGTAATAACCTGGTTTTGAATACAAAGCTCTATAATATCAATTCCTGGTATATTTGTCGCCTGAGTACCCACGGAATGGACAGGGGGCTCTTTTTGTAGCAGGAACTCCTTTGCATATCAGGCCACACACCCCTAATGTAGCCAATCCTCCAAGAGCTTACAGAGCTCTTCTTACAGGAGCTACTGTAAGCTCTTGGAGGATTGGCTACATTAGGGGTGTGTCGCTTAATATGCAAATGAGTACCTGCTACAAAAAGATTCCAAGGTCACTCCAGAATCCCACAATGGAAGGAATACAACTCAAGCTACAATGACACCCAAGAATGTGGTCTTTGGGGATTAACCATACCTAAAAGCACCTTCCACACCAGGGTTCGATACATGGACGGAAGTGGAAATCTTTGACTAAACGTGCAAAGCTTCTCGATATCTGTGAAGAAAGGGGTTTTTTACAAAATTAAAGACTGTTAGGAATCATCTCTTTACTCTCAAACGCTGAGACTTGGCTCCTGTAAACAGGACACATCTTAAAGGGTACAGCATCAATAACCAGCCCCAGAAAGTAAGAATTTCAGATTTGCATGGTCAACAAATTCCATGTAAAATTGTCTGCCTACTTTTGGCCCTTTCCAAAAATGTAAGCCCAGAAGTGATAGACACAAAAATGTACGCATTAGGTCTGTCGACCAATTAAAGACATTTTAGCTCATTCATCATCTGCAATAGATAAGATGTAAATACATTTGTATACGGTAAAAAACCTTTGATCTGTGGTGTTGTTGTTGTTGTTTTTAAAACACTGAAGGAATATTTCCCAAGCCATGTCTCCTTGTTAGAATAATATTTTCTTTTTTTACTTCCTAAGTAATTCATTGAAACAGCTTTTAAAAACAAAGTTTTTCAAGCTCGGCAGAGACAGACTAAGGGCAAATATGAACTGCACGTGCTGCGTATCTGGCTCCCCCCTCTGCCAGCCAATTTATACATTACACAGGAGCAATTCAGTGCAGATGGTGCAATCTGCATGTATCCAGTCCCAGGTAACTGCAGCACTTACACTCTGCAAGATGCCTTAGTACCAAATGATCATGGAACACACATAATTCTCCAAAGTGCACGTGCACATTTTCTGTATTAGGACATTATAGTGGAAGTGAGAGGAAAGTTGATGTACTGTGGGCAAAAGATCTTCGCCAAGCCCAAGTCCAGTCATCTCCTCTTCTTCCCTACAGAGCATAGCTGGAAGCAAAGGGGAACAATGACGTCCCACCGTTCTTGAGTTATGCATCAAAATACTAAGGAGCAGAGTGATACCAAACCAACACCAGTACCACCTTGGAATTCACTGCCACAGGAAGTGGTGGCAGCTACAAGCATGGACGGCTTCAAAAGGTAATTAGATAAGCATATGGAGCAGAGGTCCATCAGTGGCTATTAGCCACAAGGTATAGATAGGGGCTCTGGGGCAAGTGATTCTCTGTCATCTTGGTGCTTGGGGGGGTCAACAGTGGGAGGGCTTCTAATGTCCTGGCCCCACTGCTGGACCTCCTGATGGCACCTGGTATTTCTGGCCACTGTGTGATACAGAGTGTTGGACTGGATGGGCCTTTGGCCTGATCCAACATTGGCATCTCTTATGTTCTTATGTTCTTACCTTTGTGCACTGATTACGGCTTCTGAAAGCAAGTGGATTCCAGCACAAAAATTCTTTTTATAGAATTCTCTCCAGTCTCTTGGAAACAGGAGAGAAGCCAGTTCACGCTACACCTCAGGTACTTTTCCTGTACGTGGCACGGTGTGAGAGCACAGAAGGTTCTGTGCAAATGCCCACATTCAAACCGAAACACCCTCGCCCACATCATCCATGCAAAAAATGGGCAGACCGATCACATGGTTAAGGGGCAGGTCTCAGTTCCCAAGGGGAAAAGAAATCTACCAAAGGAGGAAGAAGAATACGTGAGCTCAATGCTTCCCCCCTG